TGTCCAGATCAGAGCCACTGCCCACCCCTCACCCCTGCCCCTAGCATCTGGATCAGGGCTAGGCTACTCCCCACCCCCTAGCTGGATGGATAGAGGACCCTGCCACACTGGCCGCATGTGCCGCATCGAACTCACTGGCTAGATCTGGCCTGTGGATGGACCTGGCCCCCCACTACCCAAGCCACAGGGTGAAGAGGTTGGACACCACTGCCTACTAACCTGTTTCTCTTTCCCCCCACCCCTCCAAGTATATAAGACCAAGCTGGTGAGCAAGAAAGAGGAAAGCAGTTACGACAACTACATGATGGAGATCCTGCAGATCATCAAAGCAGGTGAAGGATCCTCCTTGGACTCCAAAATGAACCCCCTTCTCCCAGCCTCTCCACTCTCCAGAGCATTTAAACAATCCTCTTGATTCTTCCCCACTAAAGGGTCAGATGAAAACCCCCGAAGTGGAAATCGCAGGTTCATCAGCCACATTAAGTGCCGGGACTCACTGAGTATGGAGGTGAACAAGAACTATTTGATCTGGGGCCTGAGCAGCGATTTGTGGAACATGAAAAATGGGTGAGTTTTAACACCCATCAGAGCCCTTGGTGGAGGCTGGGAGGTTGCAGCATGTTACTTAATTCCATGGGTTAATTGGTAAGGAGTGGCCAGCTGTGTGTTTCACTAGCATAAATCCATCATTCAAGGTGTTCAAGGAGAGGTTGGATACACATTGATCAGGGATGATCTAAGCATAGCAATGGCTATCATCTACTAGGGAGATCTCCTAGGCTTTACAGGTTGCCACATGGGGCTGGCAATGAATTATTTTTCGCTTCCTCTTGCTACATGTGTCAAGGTATATTTTTCTCTGTGTTGGGTGTTGGCTGCAGCCATGGGTGGATCTGGGATTTTGAAAAGGGGGTGCAGCTGCTGTGGTGCATCATCCCATAGAACACAATGCACATTTTTCTCTGGTTAAAAGGAAACTAGAAGTTTCACTAATAAGCCGGAGGCCTACAGCTATAGCATTCAATTTAAGGTTGAGCCAAAACAACCCAACTTCACTGGATTTTGCATTAATTTACTCTCTCATATATTATATATTTTAAAAACGCAATACCCTTCTTGGGCACCTTGCCAGCACATCTAGTGCTTCCTTTGAAGTTATTTCCACACATAAAAGGTTCTCCTGAGCTAGTGTTTCCACACCTGAGTGAATGCTTCTAGCTAGAGTTAAAAAAAAAAAAAACAGTCTGCAGGGCTGTGAAATGAGAGCAATGCAGAGCAGCAAACAGACAGCAGCACTGCAGAGTAAGGCTAGCTGGAATAATGGAACCATTAAAGAGCAAAAAAAGGAGAGGGTGTCATTAACACCTCCAGAGTGAAGAGTTTAGGAGGAATCAGGTAGGCGACACTAAACTGTGACGTCAATTGACTGCCTTGTTGCTGTCTGAATAGAAATACTGCTGCCACTGCCAGGCAGTTGGTTATAAGCTTTGGATGGACCAGAAATCAAAGGGAGGTAACTGCACCCCTCTCACAGATCTGCCCCTGGCTGCAGCCCAGGCCTGGGATGGTGTTTGGGCCATGCTGGGACTCAAACCCAGGAGTTCCTGGCTAGAAGGTCTTGCCCTTCTGTTCAGGATCAGCCCAACACATTGGGGATCAGGGAGGAATTTGACCACCTGGCCAAATGAGCACAAACTGAGGTTGGGGAGTAGTTTTCCTCTGTAGTAGGGGCATGGTCCTTGCTTTTGAAAGCGAAGATGAAGAAATTAAAGATCTTTCCTCCTACTCATCCTGCAGCTGCATGGGGATTGTCTGTAGTTTTGACTTTCGTTTTTGCCTGTCATCATTGGCAGAAACTGTTCTTACCATATTTCTCACATATAATACACGCTACAATTTCCGGGGGGGAAAGAGGGGGAATTAAAGGTGTCTGTTGTATGCCAGAGGCCTACTCTTAAGAGAAACCCAGCAGAGTATATTCATGGTGGGAAGTAGTGACTTGCAACATACCAGGGTCAAATCCTTTTTCCCACCCTTCTCAGACTCTCCTACTACATCAGCAAGGACACCTGGATCGAGAAGTGGCCGAATGAGGAGGAATGCCAGGACCCAGATTTCCAAACTCTGTGCCAGGAATTCGAGGAGTTCTCCCAAGCCATGACCATGTTTGGTTGCCCCACTTAATTCTGGGGGTTGGCACTTCCAGCTGGGCGTGGGTAAGAAGGCTTCAGCTTCATACAGAGAGTAATAAGCAGGCTGCAACATGCACCCAGAGTTGGTGCTCTCGCTTCTGGATCCCCTGATGGCTTGTGGTTTGTCTTGATTCCTTCACCCACCTCCAAGTGACCAATCCTCTCTGAATATAGCAATATAAAAAGCCTGATTTCATACTCCAGCCTCTTGTATGGCCCTTTCAGCAACAAGTATCTAGTCTCCCCACATAACATGGTGATGTGGGATCATTGGATCCTAGGAGAGCAGGTCTGGAAGGGACCTCAGCAGGTCACGTCCCATCCAGCCCCTTGCTCCAGGCAGCATCAGCCCTGACTAAACCAGCTCAGCCACATGTCTATCCAACCTGCTCCTGAATATTGCCAGGGATGGAGACTCCATCACATCTCCGGGCTGTTCCAATGTTTGACCCTTCTCAGAGTCAGGATGTTTCTCCTCATTTCCAACCTGTTTTCCCTGCTGCAGCTTGAGGCTGTTGCTCTTTGTTCCTGTCCTCTGCAGCCAACACTGAATTAGGAGTCAGGGCAGGAGTGGGGGTAGGATAGCAAGGTTAAGGTGTCTTGCTATGTCTCCCTGAGGCTGCCAGAAGGAGAAGCACAGAAGCCATTTTGCAGCATTGTCTCCATACTTCTATTCCAATGAAGATAAATCAGCCAGGCCGGATTCTGATTTCACCTGCCTTAGTGGCAATCTGGAATATATCTTTATCACGATGACTAACAGCAGGGAATGACTCGCAGTTACCACTGGGAGTGGACCTAAGTCAAAAAGAGCTGTATAGATGCAACAGGCTGGATTGCATCCAAAGAAAAGAAGTAGCATAATGAGCCCGTATCATAGGAAAGTCGGACTGGAAGGGACCTCACAACGTCATCTAGTCTGGCCCCCTGCTCAAGGCAGAATCAGCCCGGAATAAACCAGCTCAGCCCAGTATCTGTCCAACCTGCTGTTGGACATTTCCAGGGATGGAGATTCCACCACTTCTCTGGGCAGCCTGTTCCAATGCTCAACCACCTTCAGACTCAAAACGTTCCTCCTCATCTCCAGCCTCCATTTTCCCTGCTGCAGCTTCATGCTGTTGCTCCTAGTCCTGTCCATTATGGACACAGAGAAAATCCCATCTCCATCCTCTCTGTCATCACCCTTCAGGGATTTGAAGACTGTGGTCAAATCCCTTCTCAGTTTTCTCTTCTCCAGACTTCATCACTCGAGCTCTTCAGCCTGTCCTCATCAGTCCTGTTTCCCAAGCACCTGATCATTTTGGTCACTCTCTGCTGGGTTCTTGCCAACCTCTCCATGTCCTTCTTGAAGTGTGTGGCCCAAAACTGGACACAGGACTCCAGGGGAGGCCTCACCAGTGCTGAATAGAGCTGGAGAATCACTTCCTTTGCTTAGCAAAAGACAGTCCTGTTAGTACAACCCAGTTTGATGCAGCACATAAGTTTAATGTACAAACCAGAAGATGTCAGTACTAAAGGCCTCCAGTTTATTAGAAACCAGAGCAAGAATCAGCAGCTAGAAGCTGCAGACAGACACGTTCACATCAGAGCTCAGTGCCCTATATTCACAGCTCGGGGGTTTTATCTTTGCAGCAGCTAGCAGGGGAAGTGGGTTCTCCATCTGTTGATCTCTTCAAGGCAAGCTCACTTTCCGGATGATGGGCTTGGGTTCAGTCCGTCTGTAGCAGCCTGCTGTAATGTCTTGTCTACAACAAGCCCCTGGAATATAATATGCCCCTTGGTTTTTTTAAACAAAGCAGAAGGAAAAAGAAGAGATGGCTCCTCAACAACCTATTCCTTTTGCTTTCACCTGATAAGCAATAGAAACTGTTCTTACCCATATTTCTCATGTATAATGTTCACTCCCAGTTTCAAGCCATTGGTTTGTAGGGGGAAAGGTGGGTGTTGTATTGTCAGGGGCCCTAAGAGGCAACCCAGACTCAGGCTAATTTCCTAACCAGGCACATTTGCTTTGAGTCTCTTGAACTGACGAGCTCTGCCCCAGCTATTTAGCTGCCTGGCTTCCTGCTTGGCTCCTGGGAGCACAACCTACCTATAGCCCCAGCTGGGGCAGCAGATGTGAGGCCAGCCAACAGTTCTGACTAAGGTCTGCTTAGTAAGCCTTGGTGATGTGGTACTCCTGCTTTCTCCCTTTGCCCAGATTGGGCAGGGAGAAGAAAGCAGAGGCAGTGGATGGGGCTGAGCATAGAAACAGGGGAGCAGCAGATCAGACAGGGACAGGAGATCAGAATGATGCTCAGGGAGCCACAGGGCTAAATTTGTGACCTGCTGGCCAAAAACATTGGTCCCCATTCCCTAAAGTTTCCAGATCCAGGTCACTAAAGATAAGATGAGTTTCCAAATCCCTTGGGCAATTGCAGATGCGGATAAACAGGTCATTGGGTTTGTTGACTTCCTCACCCATGCCTAACCCAACTCAAGGAGATGGGATGATAAAAGATGTGGGGCTTGGAAAAAGGATATCCACCTCCCTCCTCCCATTAGAGAAAGTCCATCCCGCCATCTGAGAGAGATTTCCTAGACATGATCACAGTATCACAGGCTTCCCAGCATCATGGATCTTCTAGGCCAGGCCCAACTCCCACACTTAGGTTGCTGTATATCTCCCACGTGACTGTGGTATTGGAGCCAGGGCCTAGGCAGCAATGGGGCCTGGGTTTCTCCAGTCTTGAGGTTTCCTCTTTTCAGGGTAAGTTGCCCTGATGCGGTTTCTCAGAAACTTCCCACCCCTTGTTCTCTCCTCAAGCTGGGGGGTGCCGCCTAAGCCCTGGGGGGCGGGGAAGAGAAAGCAGAGGAGGCCCGTCACAGAGCTGGGGACAGGCAAGATGCTAGCATGAGCTAAGATCAGAGCCAGCGCAGGGAGCTGAGAAGCAAAGCAGGTGGGTGGCATCCGGTCAGTGTGGTGAGCATATGCACCCAGGCAGCTGCCTTGCAGAGAGATAAACACATTTCATAAGCAAGTGTTGAGAAACCTCAGTGCATGGGACCAGCAGAGGGGGAGGGGGGTGTAGAGCTTTTTAACAGTGCAATCTTTGTGAGGGAAAAGGAAATATATATCATCAGCTTTCCTCTGAGAAAGAGGTGATGGGGTGGGTTTAATAAGTGAGAGGCAAAAATATTTGGGGGTGATATCTCTCCTTGGAGGGAGGTAACACAAGCTGGATGGGGTCCAGTCTGGTTGGAACAGCGGCTATGGGTTCTTATCCTGTTACCTTGGGTAGCTTTTGGGGACTTTTGCGGGTTCTTTGCTTGCTTGTTTCTGTCTCTCTTTCCCCTCCCCACCTTCCTCTCCCTCTTCTTTCCCACTTATTGTATTCAAATTTAGTGAGTAATGACTAAGATCTGGCCACAGCTGGTCCAAAGTAGGGCAGCAAGTCTGATCCCAGTTTCTTGTGTTGAGGAGACGTAGAAAACCCCATACAAAGAAAGGCAACAAGGATGATCAGTGATATGGGGGGGCTTCCACAGGAGGGGAGACTGAAGAGGCCAGACCTGCTCAGTTTAGAAAAGAGATACTTGAAGGGGGACATGATGAGGGTTTCCAGAATGCTAAAGAGTGAAAAGAAACTCAATAGTGGTTTATTACTGACTAGCTCACGCCAGACAAGAATGAGGGATCACAACATGAAACAACAGGTCATCAGTTTAAAGCTGACATAAAGTAGATCTTTCTCACCCAGCCTGTCATTAAAAGGTGGAACTCATTGCCCCCAGATGTGGTGGAAGCTGAGAGTTTAGCCAGATTCACAAAGGGACTGGACACATTCTTGGATCCTCTGAATCAGGACTTCCTAGACCTTAAATGCTGGTGGTTGTAAGTGAGAAAGGGGGTTTGTCCATTCTTCCTGGTCAGACCCAGTTCATTCTCCCTTTCAGCATCCGCTCTCTGCCGCTGTGCGTCACAGGAGACTGGGCAAGATGGACCTAGGATCTGACCCAGGAAATGGCAGTTCTTATGTTGCATACTCCCCTTTATACCCACCTCTGTGCTTGTCCTCTCACAGCATGTAAGAACACAGTCTTCTGTGTCATGTGGCAGCAGAGAGCGGATGCTGAAAGGGAGAGTGAACTGGGTCTGACCAGGGTTTTTCCCCCTGTTCTTCTCTTAATTGCAGCCTCCAGTATTTAAGCAGCTGAGGAAGTGAGCCCTTGTCCACCAAAGCCCCCGCGCTGTAGAGGTTTTCATTCAAAACAGGGATGCTCAACCTCTAGCCCTCAGGCCAGATCCACACCATGGCACCCTGTCATGTGACCCACAGGGCTCCCCTGGGGTCTGGAAACCAGGCTTTAGCAGCAGATAGGGGTTTAGTTCAGCTGGAAAGGGAGGACAAGTCAGCAAAAGATAATGCCCTATCCCTGCTCTCCGCTGCCATAACTCAGGGGGAGGCGGAGCATCCATAATACTTTTCAAAGTGCAGATTATATTTGGGGGGTATATTATATGCAAGGAAATACAGTAATATGTCACCATCTGGAGCACCTTGAAAAGGATTTCATGGCACCCTGCCTGAGAATCACTGCCCTAGGGGCTCCAGAGCTGAACTTCAGTGGTGGGGGATGGCCCAGAGGCTGGCTTGCTCTGAAGATACGAAGAACTTCAAAGATACCGGGGCTTTTGGGCTCACAGCCTTGGCAAGCTGTGTGGGTGAGCCCCATTCAGCTCCGATCATAGCCCGTCTCAGCAGCCACCACACAATGAGTCAGGCCCAGCCACAGAGATCAGAAGGTGGGATGAAAAGCTGAGAAGTCTATTGTGAAGCGAGGGGGTGGATGAGTGTCCCCTGCCGGCACCGCAAGAACTGCTCAGCTCTGGGATGGTGAGATGGCAGTGGGGGAGGGAGGGATGCAAAAGTGGAGGCAATGGCATGTAGAGAATCGTAGAAATCCTAGAAAAGTGGGGCTGAAAGGGACCTCCAGAGGTCACATTGAGTCCAACCCCCTGCCTGAAGCAGGATCAGCCCTGTCCAAATCAACCCAGACAAATCCATCATGTAAACACATTGTAAAACTATCGTCAGCCCTGACGCAACACTGGAGATCACACCCCAACATCCGCTCAGGATCAGACCAACACCAGGTTTGGGGTCAGAAAAGCATTTTACCCCCTGATCAGACTGATTCGGACCCGGGAGGGGCTTGCTATCCTTTGTAGTGGGGGCATGGCCTCTGCGTGGGATCTATCAAGCATATCCTAACAACTTTTACTGCAGCAGGACATTGGCCACCATTGTTGCCCTGCTTACCCTGTGGCA